GTGGTCCATTGATATATGTTATGAATTCCTTGCTTTTTAGCTCGACTATTCGAAGAATATGAGAGCTATTGTAGTCGCCCCGGCGTCGGCGTCGGCGTCAGCGTCCGCGTCGGCGTCTGCGTTGGTTAAAGTTTTTTGTAAAGTCAAATATCTATATTATTTACTTGTGATATTCAATATTGAAACTTACAATAGTTATTTATAGTTAACAAGGGTACATTTCAGATTGACAAGTTGGATAAACTCTGCCTACAATATTGACAGAATTATGCCCCCTTTTTAACTTAGAAATTTTGGTTAAAAGTTTTTTTGTAAAGTCAAAAATATCTCAATTATTGCTTGAGATATTCAATTGAAACTTACAATACTTTTATTTATTAGTAAACAAGGTACATCAGATTTGACAAGTTGGATAACTCTGCCTACAATATTGACAGAATTATGCCCCCTTTTTAACTTAGAAATTTTGGTTAAAGTTTTTATGTTAAAGTCAAATTATCTCAATTATTGCTTGAGATATTCAATTTGAAATTTACAATACTTATTTTATAGTAACAAGGTACATATCAGATTGGACAAGTTTGGATAACTCTGCCTACAATTATTGACAGAATTATGCCCCTTTTTAACTTAGAAATTTTGGTTTAAGTTTTTTGTAAAGTCAAATATCTCAATTATTGCTTGAGATATTTCAATTGAAACTTACAATACTTATTTATAGTAAACAAGGTACATCAGATTGACAAGTTGGATAACTCTGCCACAATATTGACAAGATTATGCCCCTTTGGAACTTAGAAATTTTGGTTTAAAGGTTAAAGGTCTTCAAAGATATTTACTTGAAACTTTACACATGCACGTAGGGTCATAATTGGAGGGTCATAATTGGTATGTCACTGACCAAGTTCCATAACTCTATCTTGCATTAAGGCTGATTCATATCCCCTTTTCTACTTAGTCCTCTTGGTTAATGTTTACATGCAAGTTTTTACATATCTCAATAACTATTAAAGAAATATTTATTTAAAACTTCACATATGCATTGAGAGTCATAATTGTAGTTCACTGACAAAGATCCATAATTCTATCTTGCATTTAGGCTGATTTTTCTCCCCTTTTTTAACTTAGAAATTCATGGTAAAGTTTTGCTTGTAAGCTGTTATCTCAATAACTACTGAAGGGTTTGTGCCTTTTTTGGGACAATTTAAGCATTAATAATAATAAAGCTGTGATTTACTTAATAAAACATCTTAATAACAAGCCTTTTGTACCTTTTCTGTCAAATTTATGTATTCATAGGTAATTAGTATTATTAATACTCAATTAAAACACCCTTGTGACATTACCTTCCGAATAGTCAAGCCAATACTGTATAATTAGACTCTCTTCAAGGCCTATAACTTGAATTTATAAAAAAAAATTAGCCCTTTTGTGAACTTAAAAAATTTAACATTATCAAGGCTCTTTTACTATCAAGCACTTAGAATAGTCGAGCGTGCTGTCCTTCCGACAGCTCTTGTTAAGTAATGGAATTAGATTTAAATTGCCATTCAAGCGGTCCAATTGCAATTGTTAAAGGGATGTTTATGTTTCCTGATCATGTGCAAAAGTTATTGGCAATAGTGACCCAAAATTGATAAATTTGTTCTTCCAAATTTTCTTTTGAATTGTTTTGAAATTTGGGAACATATCGGAGCATCGAAAGGAGAAAAGGACTGTCCTTTGTTACCTGTAAGCTTTGTTATATTAGAATCGAGCACTTCGTCTAATAAATTGTCATCACTATCCGATTTCTCTGAATTTGAATAATTTACGTCTGATGGATGACTTGTGCTTAACTTTCAGGTTGGCGATTGTGTCCTTTTCATTTTAGTTGTTTGAGTACAAGTATGCCGTCTACTCTAATGCCCTTGATGGGGGATTAAGTCATTATTGCCTGTTTCCAGGTTGTTAACTGATACATTTTATTCTGAGGCCGAGTCTTAATCAATATTGTCAGTGTTCACTACAGCTGGGGCTTTGGACCAGCCCTGGATCTCTTTGGTAGTGAATTTTGTTGTTTTCCACTGTCAACTGAACTTGATCTATTTCGTCGCAGAAGCTGGTTGTCTTTTACCACTTCAAGTCTTTGTCACTCTCAGACAGAGTGTTATCTTCCAATAGATGGACTTTTCCATATCTTTTTTTGTTTTTTTTTTCAAAATGTCCTACTTTTTAGCTCGACCTTTGTGATCGCTTTTCGTCTTGTAGACATGCCTTTAGTTCATTTAAATTGATTAAATATGTCTTGGGTAGTTCCACAGGGAAAAAAATTCTTGTTTTTATTGTTTTTTTGTTTTGTTTTTGAATCTATGACATGCTTCTGTAAATCATGGACATATAGTAAATTTTGTCATTCTGAATTTAAACGTTTCCCCTTCATGGAAAAGCGCGTCTTTTCAAATTTAATCTTCCTGAAATAAAATGTTTAAAACAATGCAATATAATAATAGAAGACTGGGTTTGATAAGAGTCTATTTATGGGATGTTATGAAATATGCAACATCTCTCATGCCACACTATCATTAGCACATTGGTATTCTATTGTTATAACATGATCCTAAAGGACCAGACAATATAAAGACACTGATTTTTATGCTAGGGCATTTTACGGCCTTCATACGGACATTTTCAGACTGCTGTTGTTATACTTTACATAGTATTTGCAACTGTGGCCCTCTCTTTTACAAAGGAAAGAAGATCATCAAATAATGGTTTGATTCCCTGTTCAATTAAGCGGGTTGCTCGCTCGACATATTTCGACCTAATATTAAAATCTGCGAACAATATTTCTAAGATTTTCAGTGTTATTTAGATCGGGCATGAACCGTACTTGTGATAATTGATCTGACATTTTTCCATGTCAAGAGACAGATTCATGAGACCCTTTATGTCATTATTTTTTATACTATTGCCATTGATTAATTTCTAAACATGTGATCTTGCAACTAAATGTGGCTGACCATACCTACCCTTAGGAAAAGGAAAGGCATTTAACTTGCAGTTATTTAGCATTGTTTTTCTGACCAGTTTTAACCATTTATTAAGCAGTTGTAAAAAAACTTTCAAAAAACTGTTGCATTTATTTGAGCTAATATAATACTGTTAACAACTGTTCACATCTGAAAATAAATGTACATGTACATGGAATTTCTATTACATTGACACATATGTATGTACATAGATTTCTTACAAATCACCAAATCCCCTAACTTTTCATGAACTCAAAAGCATTGCCCTTTAGTTTCATTAGGCAATTAGTTTGATTACTGTGTGGACTTAAAGTTTTGGACACTTTTTAATGTATTTAACATTAGAAATTGTTAAGACGAACAACAGACATATTGAACTGTCAAAAATCTCACAATAAGCCTCTGGATCTTTTGAACTTTGAGATTAAAGGCCATATATGCGTTTGTAATGAGCAAAAATGTTAAGTACAAAAATCTTATCCAATGACTTTGTTATGAACAAAAACGAAAAAGAAATCATAGTATTTCTCTTCTAAAATGGTCAAAATGTTGAAAAACACCACATAATTCTTGTAACGCCTACAAGACGTTACACCAAATAGTGCTTACATTTTAAAAGCATTAAAAGATTGGATAACATTTTAAAAAAGTTATTTTATTTCTTCTTTGATGGTGATATCTTTTATATTCTAAAGGCCTAGCTGTCTAGTGTGCATCATTTACGTTATATTGCAGACTATCAAATTTCCATAATCAAAGTACTGAAGGTACTAACGATACAGAAACGACTGGGGTTTATTAGTAAAAAACAATATACAAAGGCTAAATATTTTGACATTTGGTGTCAAGAGGTAAAACCCTTTCGATACAGAATTCTTAAGAAATACATGGGGCTTTAAAGTCTAGCTTAAACAAAACAAAAAAAAAAACAAGATATACAAGAACTGTTAAAAGTGGACATAAGTGATTCATGCATATGTCAGCTATAAAGAATCGTTTTAAGTGTACATAATGAGAAAATGAGGGGACATAATTATTTTTGAACAATTGCCATAAATAAGATATCTATTCTCAATCTGATCCTCCAAATATCAGAAATTTTATATTAATACATGCTGATGTCTAATGCTGACTAGATTTAACTATAGAGCAACAGATAAATTTTAGAGCTAGTGTCTTTACTCCCTATTGTTTTTTTGGAAAGAGTGAGTCACTCTCAAGACACAAAAAAAAAATTTGTTTTACAATAATAATAATAATATGTAGGACTTCATAATGTCTTTTCATACCATTTAACTTGTCTGTCAAACATGCTTTCTTTCATTTTCAGTGAAAGTTCCTATTTTCGCGGTACTAAAACAGCTAACAGTAATTTTAAAATCAAAGTTATATACTATTGTATAGTATTTTGCAAAACTTCCTTTTGAAAGAAAATTGAAGAAAAGAATGCTGTAGAAATTTTGTTTTGGTTTGAAATTACGTTACCGCAAGCAGTATAATTTATAAAATACAACAGCTAGTGTCTGAGTTTCAACTCTGTCGCAGGCATTGTAAACTACAACCTTCACATTGTACAGACAAACTATCTGGCTCATGAGTTTTAAAAAAAAAAAAAGAGAAGACGACAGGGTTTGTTCATGTGATTTCTTTTGCTGCCTCTGGACGGCATGACTCAGTTTGAAAGTAAATTTACACCCCACACCGGTGAGGTCTAAAAGCCAGATCCCGTTACCATATATTTCAATGCATATTTATTAATTTTAAATATGTAAAAACGCATTCAAGCTCCTTATCTGTTGCTTTGTAACTTATTGTGCACAAAAAATGTAAATACCATAAAGTTTGACTAGATTTCAACTGACATCATCCATTAACAAAATTTATCAGTTTTAAAACATTTTAACTAAATTTTGCAACTTTATTTAAAAAGTGTCAAAGTTGAATACTGAAGTAGTGATCGAAGTACAGGTCACTAGTCTGTCACTAGTTTCAATCACTATTCTCTGAATTTCTCAGTTTTTTCAGGGTTGTTTTTCCACGGGCAAGAAAACGGCTATTTGTTATTTTGTTCTGTAGTTTCAGCCTGTAATCCTTTGAAGAAGGCTGCTCAATTTCCAGGCACTGGCACTTTGCTGCAAGATATTCTTGCAAAGCTTCCTGTTTCAAGGTGTTTAGGTCTGAAACACCTTTTGCCTCCATAAATTCTTCTCTAGAAAACAACATGGACCCAACTTTATTTAGCAGGTATATTCCAGGAGACTTTTGTAAGAGAGCACACTGTTCAATTTTCCTTAGATCAACAGGATTAACAAGTACAGTTTTAAATCTATCTGGATTCCTTTTGTCAACAATAAGCTCCACCTTTTTCTGAAAACAAAAGTACAGGTAATGTTACTCATGAATGGTGTTACTGGCTCAATCTTAGGCCAGAGAAATAAGGGATATTTGTTTGTTTTCGATGTGATGATGTGTTTTCTCATCACCGGTTGGGAGAATAATATATATTTTCACAAGCACATAGCACGAGTGGAAACATGTTAATTATTATCCGAACCGATGATGAGAAAACACGTTAGCACACTGAAATCAAACAAATTTTCTTTTTATTTTAATGCTGACTGGTGATTTTTTTTGGGTTTTATGTGAGACTATTTTGTTTACATTGTGCATAGTAATTTGACTTCAATGATTTTATTTTTCGAATTGACCGTCAATGGATCTCGTGAAAACATGAAAATATGTTTGATTTTTTCCAACTATGTTCACAAAAACCGTAAAGATTATTATGCCAAGAAATACATAGACTTGAAATTCTGTTGGAATTATATTTCATGTTTACTGACGTGTCGTCATAATATGATGACATCATGAAGTAACGTACATAACATTTCGCGGAAAAAGTATGAAAAAATAGCAAAATAACATGAAATAAATAGAAATTTTTTGTTTGTTTGTTTTACATGTAAAATCGAAATAATATTTCACTTGTGAACTACAGGTATCATATTTTTAAAATAAAAAAGTAGTTCGGCAGTGACTGATATAATTTCCCTCACTGTTATTTTTCAGTATTTTACCAGATAGCATTAAATAAAAAAAATTAATTGAGGAAAATCTAAAAATCATTTTTCTCTTGCCTAAACATCAATACATATAAATTGAAACTTCAAGCATTACGGCTTTCATAAAATCAGCCGAAACAGATGTAACCATCATATACAAAGAATAATATGCACTCATAAATTTTACAAACATAACTGGTAATGATTAAAATTTGATAAATAAAAATGTATTATCCAGAATGTCAGTAACAGTAAAGTTTTTTTTTCTTTTAAATTTCAATTAAGTAATATTAAAATTTTAAATTTCAATTTTAAACATTAAATCCTCTTAAGTATACGAAGGGCATACAATAACATATATACATATTATTGGCCTTCAGTTACCTGCCCTAAGCTACATCTTGGTGTCATCCCAGTAAATAAGCATACAAAGTTAGATTACTACCAATGAGTATATATTGTAGCAAGAAATATTATCGAGTTTAATACTAGGTCGACACATGCTACTAAAAGCCATTACCAACCTCGTAATGTTTTGAAGGCATGGTAGATGTAGCCCCAGCATCTTGGTGTAACATAGTTGTAAATTCTTGCTTGTATGTAGGTGTTCTTAGATTGTATGCAGGAGGTTGGCATTGAGATGACTGAAGTGCATTTGCAAGACAGGATACAAATCCGACAATGCTTGTTTTATGATCCACAGGCAGGGAATCAAAGTAGCCTAAAAGACAAAACTAAATATCATGAAGGCCTTTTTTTGTAAAAAGCATTGACTGCATCAATAATCATGTATTAACATATAATTTGATTCTAATTATATCAAAAAAAATTTTTCGCCAACAAAGTTTAATTGGATCTTTATTCAAGAAAGCCCTCAATGCGATGAAACAAGGTTTTCAAAGCATATTTTGTCTTCCATCTTTTTTAGTAACTGGTTAAGAGTGAACAATTTTTTTAATTTTTTTTTTCAAGTTACATTGACTATGGCTGAACTGACCAAAATACAATCACTAGCTCAAGTGTCATCAGAGGATGTCATACACTAATTTTTATTAAAAGTAATAAATCCAAACTCAATTTATTGATCAGAAACCATGTATTTGTAAATTTTATGTCCATTTTTAGTAAGGAAGACCTTGACTCATATAATCCAATGCAAGAGTTAAAGAGGCATACACCCTATTTTTTATAGACTTTTTCGTGCAACCATCAAAATTAACATTTTTGAATGTAATTCAATAATATATGTGGAAAGTAAAGAAGGACATGCATTGAAAAACGTATGGTTTTGAATAACAGGCCAATTTTGATGCCCTCTATAAAAAAGTGCTTCCACCAAAAAACGGTACAACACATACTTTATTTACATTGTAGAGTATAAAACGCTGACGAATGCGCAGGTGAAAAATAGAAGTATAATGTCATGAAATATTTTTAATCTTTGGACCTTAATTTGCTCCTGAAATCCACACTTTTTGTGAATATATATTGGAATTATTCAATTCGTTAAAGTTTTGTTATGACTAGAACTTATGTAAATTTAGGGTATGCCTCTTTAATACAAGATATATAAAATTTTAGTAAGATTGATCAATCCAACTTAAATATTAAATTGAAACCACTAATTTGATATTTTTTTTCTATTTTAGTAGAAGTGATCTTGTCAACCTTACAGTCCATAGCTAGGGTTTTATGCTTGAGCATGCTAAATACCAATTTTTATTAAGATTGGTGTAGCCAAATTAAGTTTACTGAATTGAAATCACACTGACACGCCTGCCATATCCTCATCTAATAACATGGTTTCAACTTTGTTCAAAACCTGATTAACAAACATACATCTTATACCTAATAGATCATTCAAAGAAACATCTGAAGTCTTTGTGCTCAATGCATAATTGTAACCATATTCTCCTGTTGTATTCATGTCCATAGGTGAAACATCAGTGTTATCCTGAAAATAAAAACAGCATATGAGGCATACTTAAATATATAATTGTATTCAATTGTAAACAGATATTTTGCCTATGAGGGGTTATGTCAATAGAACCACTTTGTCTTTAAAAAATGCACAAATGAAATGGTAAATGTCTGGAGACATCAATGTATCTTGATAATATGGAGGTACATTCTACCACGTTTTAGAATAAAAAATCAATGCTAAGACAAGAGGACCCTGTACTCAGGTGAACAAATAAAGATTGAGTAATGCTGACATATGAAAAGTAAAAGTTACAGGAAAGTAGTACATCATTTTAATAATTAAGAGCAACGGTTGTTACTTTCATATGTAAAGTTTGGTTTTAGCATGCAGCACTGTGTTTACATATATGTACATTGTACAAAAAAGAGTCTGCTTAACTTACCATTAACAATGACATCATACTTCCGCCTACAACTTCTGACAAAGGAGTTGTGACTGTCTTCTCAGATGTTCTTACTGTGTTGGCTGTTTTCTTAGGAGTGCACATGGTCTCGTAAATGGTGGCTGTTCTCTTAGGTGTGGTTCCGTCAATTAGGGCTGTAACAATAGTCAATAGTATCGACTTATCGCAATAGTAACAGCAACGATAGTCAATAGTTGATAGTGATTTTAACTATCGATAACTATCGGCAATCGTAAGCTAAAAAATGATAGTTTTGATAGTTATTTTCTTCAATATTTTTTTTCAAATTTTGGCAAAAATTACATTTTTTTCAAGACAAGGGAGACTACCGTTAGCATAACTTATTATAATTTGAATACATATTACTCAGTGTGGCAATACCACGTGACATTGACGTCATTTTTGGCATCATTTCCAAGACAAATGTTGCTCGATTCGGAAAAGAAAATAGCCGTAAATATTTTATTTCTGTACCAATTTCTTTGGGATAAGCACCAGTCTACGGGGAAAAATATAAGCTTTCCACAGAATATTGGATCTTCGTCAGTTTATAAGCCGTTTTATCAAACACTTTGCATAACCTTGGAAGTTGCTTGTATTATAGCGGGCTTCAGTTGCAAGCTATTTCGTTTTCTGGCGTTATCTGGTCTACGTCATGATTAAAAAGTCAGGGTTTAGCATCAAACCGGGAGTACGGAAGGCAAAACTCTACCTAATAAATATGTTCATATTTTTTATTATGAATGACATAAATCTTAAAAATTTTTTCTTCAATGTCTATTCTGGCACCAAGTTCCAAAGTCGAAAAAAAGGACTACAGTTTAAAGCAGATTTTAGAAATCCGTTGCAAATGCAAAGCAACATGCCTACCGTTCTCTTTCTACAATTTAGTTTTTTCATTGTTGATCTTTCACAGAGAGATTGGTAAAAAAAAATGATTGTTCCTTTAAAGCAATAACAACTTACTTGTATCGCAATAAGTGCACACGTCAAAATCACGTAGATTTAGTCCTGTCGGAAAATAAATATTTTTGTTTCGTTTTGAAGATGTTTAAAGTATTGCTCATTTTATCCTATGTAGTAAATGTGTTTTTATTCTATTTCACAATGGCGAAATTATTGATAAGAAATATATGTGCTCTTAGTGAGAGAAAGAGTTAAAATTAAAAAAACTAGAAATGTGTCATCATGCCACGGATGCCCCCGCATGCAGCCAAAATTTCAGATGTTATAATATTTAGTTCCAAATTTGTTTGCACAAATTATTTTTTTCATTTTAAGTTCAAAGCCCTTAAAACTTTTCAATGTTAACAACAAACCATTTTCATACAATGTTCAAGGCACTGAAATTATTCAGTCTTAACCTTTTGAAAATATCATATTTCATATTTGTAGCCAAAATAATGGCTACATATATTTCCACAAAAGTATGAGTGCTGAAACTGAAAGTTCAAAATTTTTCCCAACATTCAAGAAAGATAGTTTGTCCAAAATCATTGAACCACAACCAAATTCAAACTTAAACTGCTTATTCCTCAGATGTATCTATATTATTTTTAAGTAAAAGGGACATAACTCTGCAAAAAAATCATTGAACCATGACCAAATTCGAACTTGACCTGTATTTTTATCATGACATATCCATATGTCAAGTTTGAGTTGAAATGTATTGTACGCGTTGGGAGATAATGAACGGAAACTGAAAATTTCATATTATTTTCAAAAGTAAAAGGGGCATAACTCTGCCAAAATCATTGGACCATGACCAAATTCGAACTTGACCTGTATTTTCTCATGACATATCCATATGTCAAATTTGAGTTGAATGTGTGCAACCGTTACTAAAGATAAATGAACGGAAACTGATGATGACGGAATGACAGAATGACGGAAGGACGGAATGACGGAAGGACGGAATGACGGAAGGACGGAACAGGGTAACACTATATGCCCCGGCCATTACATGGCGGGGGCATAAAAACACTTTTGTATGCTATGGAAAGGGTTACACTTTAACGCGAGTGTTGTAAAGCTAAAGGTATTTTTTTTCAGTTTATTTTTGTAAAGAGTAACTGACAAACACTGACTCTCGTGAATGTGACGAATAGGTTCTTCTGTCCTCAAAAGAGAGACTTTTAAAAGGTATATATTTTTCTGGAATTGTTGTATAATAAATTTCTATAGAGTTTGATAAACGAAATCACAATTTGAACTTGGAACTTTGCCGTGTAAGTCTGATAGTATTGTTACTTAGTTGCATTACTTGTGGTTCTCTATTTATAAAAAAGACCCAAAATAGCCACGAATAAGAACGAGAATGGAAGCCATGTGGAGTAAACAAAGTAGAAAATAGTAAACAGATAATTAAATGATTTTACAAACCAACAGCCATCGATCACAGTCAAATTTCTTGAAACAAAACATTCAAAAAGACGGAAATAACAATGATTATCAATAATTATATAAATATTTACATTAACATCTGTAATAGCAACATCGGCAAGATCTATGACTGGAGTCCATATGCCACTGATGCGTCCATTGAATAATTGATAGGTAACATAAGCTTAGTAAAATTACGATTACATTTGAAGAGTGTAATCATTTTTTATCCTTCAACTGTCAAATGACTTACTTCTTTATTTACATATCAGATAATTCACTTATTTAGTATATGCGTCATGTTTATCATGTTTGAGATTTTAATGTGTGGTCCTTTTTTAAATCTTAAAATTCTAAAAAAAATCCTGTTGAGGACATCTGCAGGTCATGCCGCGTGCAATAATCCATGCATTTACAGCCAATGACCACATCGATAAGAAATAGTCCCAAATAGCCCTATCATTTTTATTCAGTTGAAAGAGACATTATTGTTAAAAAGTTCTACTCGATTTAAATGTTTTCAAACCATAAATATTCCGTTCCCATTCCTCTCTTTACAATGTATATTGGTGAGCTCTCTGATAAAAGCTGAGTTGACTGATATAATTAACTAAATTTGTCAGATATGCAGTTTATCAACAAAAATAAATGCAATTATAAAAATAGATCTATAGTGTTTAATAGTGTTCTTAAAGTGAACGAAGTTATATATCTAGTTCACGAAAAACGGTTACCGTGGGTATGAAAACAGGATGTAAAAATATTTTTTATCAACGAGTGCCACTGTGTTAAAAAGCTGAATCTATCATACTAAAACATTGCTACAGGTTCTTTATATATATATTATGGTTATACGTATAAATAACCTTTTTTACAAAAGAATAACCTTTGACTTTAAAAATGCCGCGTTGAGGCGTAACCCTTTTCACAGCATACAAATCGAAAGTGATCCTGAATGTGCACGTTCATTGGACAGGCTAGCTAAGTCAATCCGAGCCTGCCAACATTTTTCAAATTTGCCGTTTTGGGCGATATTTAGGGGTTTCTGTTTTCTATTCCACGTTTAGTATTGCTACATGACACAAATAGAGTTTTCATAATCATTACCGTGAAAGATCAAATGATTAAAGAGCAAATCAATTCCTTTACAAATACAGACAACAAATTTTACGACTTTTAAAATCACTTATAGCGCAGCGAGTAAAAATCATTTAAATATTCATTTGTGTTTATGTAAATCGTATAGTAAATAAAATGTTTTTCATGGTTAACCAGGGCCGAGTGGTTAAGCGTCGTTGACTTTCAAAATCACTTGCCCCTCACCGGCTGGTGGGTTTTCGAATCCCGAACAGGACTTTGGATTCTTTCATGTGAGGAAGCTATCCAGCTAGCTTACGGAACGTCGGTGGTTCTACTCAGGTGCCCGTTCGTGCCTGAAATATGCACGGAATGGCACCTGAGGTCTTCCTCCACCAGTAAAGCTGGAACGTCGCGATATGACCTGTATTGTGTCGATGTGACGTAAAACCCAAAAACAAACAAAATCATGGTTAACATAATTATAGAAAGAGAACGGTAGGCATGTTGCTTTGCATTTGCAACGGATTCTAAAATCTGCTTTAAACTGTAGTCCTTTTTTTCGACTTGGAACTGGTGCCAGAATTGACAATTGAAGAAAAATGTAAGATTTATGTCATTCATAATAAAAATATGAACATATTTAGGTAGAGTTTTGCCTTCCGTTTTACTCCCGGTTGATGTAAACCTGACTTTTTAATCATGATCGTAGACCAGGATAACCCGCCAGAAAACGAAAATAGCTTGCAACTGAAGGCCCGCTCTAATACAAGCAACTTCCAAGTTATGCAAAGTGTTTGATAAAACGGCTTATAAACTGACGAAGATCCAATATTCTGTGGAAAGCTTATATTTTTCCCCGTAGACTGGTGCATATCCCAAAGAAATTGGTACAGAAATAAAATATTTACGGCTATTTTCTTTTCCGAATCGAGCAACATTTGTCTTGGAAATGATGCCGAAAATGACGTCATAGTCACGTGGTATTGCCACACTGTTACTGTAAATATTATTTTATCAACTTGAATGTTTAAAAATTACCTTAGTGTTTCCGTTTCAATCCATACATCCACAAAAGTTACATAAATAGCTGTTATTATAGAGGCAAAATGAATAAATACAACTATCGTGATAGTATCACAATAGTAAGGCAAACTATCGATTATATATCGTGATAGTTGTTTGAACTATCGATAACTATTGTGATAGTAAAATTAATATCAAGTCACCCCTACCGTCACTGGTGGCTGTTCTCTTAGGTGTGGATCCATCAAGGGTAGCGGTTTTCTTAGGTGTTGTTCCAAAAATAGTGGCTGCTCTCTTAGGTGATGGTTCAATGATGGCTGCTAGATGGTGGCTGTTTTCTTAGGTGTGGTCCCAACTTTGGTGGATTTTTTCTTCAGAGATTTAGTGGTAGCTATTTCAGGACTAGGAGTGGTCCTACCCTTGATGACTGACTTAGGTTTTCCACCAGTGGTTGTTGTTTTAGGAGTGGTCCCAGCAGTAGTGACTGATTTCTTAGCAGCGATTCCAACTGTAGTAGTAACTGATGTTGTCCCAACAAGAGTGGCTGTTTTTTTAGGAGTTCTACTGACAGTTGTGGATGACTGCTTAGGTTTTGTCCCAACAACAGTGGTTGTTTTCTTAGGAATAGTCTCAGGTTTGGTTCCTGATTTCTTAGGAGTTATCCTGACACTTGTGACTGATTTCTCAGAATTGACCATATTCTCAAATGAAACCCCAACAGTTGCAGTTGTATTTTGAGTAGTCCCTAGACTGACTGTGGTGGTTGTTTTCTTTGGAGTCTTCTCATCATTGTCTTTAATGGTTTCAAATTCTGTGTCGACACTGAAGAGATTTAATCCTGCGAAAGCTTGCATCTGTCTTACCTTTTCAGAAGGCAAGTTAGTAGTTTTCTTTTTTGTGTTTTTTGACATCTCTTTTGTTCCAACTTGAAGCGCTTCCTTCTTGGAAATGTTGTTTAACTTCTCATGAAATTTCTCTTTCTTGGTTTTGTTTGGTGTTTGGGACCCAATTTCTGACTCAAATATTTCTTTAAAGTCTTTTCTCGCGCCTCTTTTTCCGGAATTTTTTTTCTTTTCCAAACCCATATCTTTTAAATGTTCCAACACCACTGAAAACTCACCCTCAACCAAGTCAATTTTACTGGCCTCACTGATGAAATCTTTGCATGCTGTGGAACCTGAAAAATAACCATGAGTGCAGGGTCAACAAAAATATCAGAGGCCAGAGTTCAACTTTTTCAATAGCTGGACCAGTGGTCCAGTTACTTTGAAAATGTACTAGACCTGACCTAAAATGAACTAAACCAACATGCATTACAATACTAGAACATTGAACAGATATACTGACTTGTTGTTATTAATTTTTAATATGGTATGTGTCAGCACTGATACATGTGCTTAACTTTTACATGCATATTTTTCACTGTATTTTCTCGTAACGCTGATTCACGAAAGGCGATTTCGAGTAACAGCACAAGGTGTATTATTCTTTCGTTGCTTTTCTATTATTTTTATTATTATGATTCGATTATAACTCGCATATTTTTAACATAATTTTATAGAAATTTTAATTCGACATGTTAGCATTAAAAGATATGACAAACTGATACAAATTCTTGTTTTTTTTGGATGACCAATGACCGTTGAGCACACGATAATAACTGTTATGCAAACAAACTAAAATTGACACGCTGTGTATTTTCACAAAATAAAGTGAAAGATGTTAGAAGAACAAAGAGATTATGTTCCAGTATTGATTTTTCGGTGTGTTTTTTTTCGCGCCTTTGTATTGATCAATTGTTATTTTTACAGCGAGAAAAGTGTGATTTCGGCGATTTTCTTTTTCAAAATCGCCGATTTTTTCGTTCTAAGTCAGCAACTTTTCGGTTCAAAATCGGCGATAGTTATCAATAATTTCTTTTCAACGTGGAAAAATTAAGAAATCGAAGTGTTTTTTTTTTTTTTATTTCATAACCGATTTTTGTTTTTCAAAATCGGCGATATTTTTTGGGAGCCACGGCGTAACCGCGTTATACCGGATATCGCGTTATAACGGATCGCGTTATAAGGGAGTAGCAGTGTAATAAACTAACAGTTTGTAAAAACATGTAATTTATACATTATTCAAATAAAATGCAGGAATTTTATCATTTTTGATTGTGAACAATAAAATAAATACGACATGCAAAATATAATTGAGACCGGAGGAGACAGGAGAATAGTATAGCCAAATTAGGGAATATATAGCCAAATGAGGCATAAACCTATGTAGCTTAACATTTAGTAATTACTGACAGTCACCGGTTTGAATCCCACTGTTACTCTGGTTCTTTTTCTATTTCTGACTAATTAAGCAGGGAACTATAATGAAAACAACATAAAAAGTACTTTTGTCAGTATCAAAGCTTGAGCAAGAGTACACTTACAGTGAATATGTATTAGGCTCTTCAAGCAGAACACGCAGCAAATTTGAACTGCTATATGATCCATTTACAGTTATTCCAAAAATAATAATACAATATTTTTACTGAAATGACACAGATCGAGACATCAATTACTTATGAACAGCACGATAAGATGTTAGAGTGTACATCATTCTAATGGAAAGGTCTTATGTTATAGGACGATCAAAAAAGGGGGCCGAATTAGCTTAGTCAATTAAATTAAGGTGTAGATGGTTGGCCAGTTTTCATGACAGCAAGGGCAACAAATGTGATAACCAAACCTACAGCATAGCCAATACAGGTTGCAACATAGTACAATTTACGACTATTGACGCGTAAATCGAATGCATGGTTATGACTGACAAGAAGGCCAGGTATGATGATGTCACCAAATCCTAGGAGAGAATATGGTAATGGACAAGCACTGATAGCGTCCTGGGTCAGCCTCGGCACTTTTAAACACCATTGGCAATTGTTCGTTGGTTTTGCTCCCCCCTCCAGTTGCAACTTTGACCATTATACTGTCGCCACTTTTTGTAAAAAGTGGAGTGATAAATACAAAGAATATATTCGTAAAAAAAAAAGCAGTACAAGCATTATTGTGCAAACCTTCATGTTTGGTACTACCAACAGACTTCATTACATTTATACAGAAAGCATAACCTAAAATATCTTGAATGACCCAGGCATACGGAGCATGACGCATTTACTCCCAAAATATTGCCACGCCTACACAGACTGCTAGTAAAGCAAGATCAGTATAATATGGTCTGCTCTTAAGCATCGGGATTTCTATTCTGTGGAAGCCTCGCTTTAAAGGCGGACATAACCTGTGCAGTAGGGATGCAGGCCAATAGTACAGACCCATAGCACCTGCCAAAAACAAAACAAGCATATAACCACATACACTAAATAATCGTAGAAAAAAATATAACAGCACTAAAAAACCCACATACAAGTACAAAAACACAAAGAATTACAATCACTGATATATCAACACTTTCCTCTTCTTCTTCATCTGAACTAGCAGATTCATCACCAGTCCCTCCTTTTTTCCAATCGTAGCGGCGGCTGCGCTCGTTTATGTTTATACTTCAATTTCTGATACTTGGCATGTTTCGTTTTCCCTGCCCAGAACCCACCATATCACAATGTTTGTTACGCTATCAGAAATATTTACTGCTAAATTTGGATCAAACATTGATTCATGACTTGGAGCAAACAGTATTGCACTTGCTTCAAATCCTTTCCTTTTATCTGATCAATATTCTCCCAAAGAGCTGTACCAACTGTTATATTAAATTTGCATAGTCAGCAGTTCATTAGTAGCACCAGGTTGTAAGTAGAGCGTTACTGGCAATCAATACAGCCTTTGCTCCTGCTGACTGAGCTTCCATTGCTTTTGCAGTAAATGTGCAATTACCTCTAGATACAAGAACGAGACTATCTTTTAACATCGAGGCACTGACTGATTTATAGTCAGATGCATTGCAGCCATATGTAGCTGATAGATCACTACATTATGGGAAGAGCCTGATTTTCTTCAACTGGAAGCTGTGGTGAACATGTGATTATAATTGATACAAAAAATGATGTCCCATTCTGTTTCTCCTGTCTTTTTGCAGAACATAACACCATCATCTGACACTGCAAGTTTGACCTGAAATAAAAATTTAAAAATACCTGTACACATTACAGTTACCAATAACATTCTTAACATTATGCCATACTTTTGTGTATATAAATTTCTAAGTTTAAAACTATAAAAGTTTTTACATCTTAGGATCTATCACAAGAAAACCATGCACTGTTTGCAAATCCTAAGATTTAAAGAAACAAGAGGGCCAACATGGCTCTAGATCGCTCACCTGACCCATCGAACTCATCCGACCAATTACCTAGACAAGCATTCTGACCAAGTTTCATGACAGGTGAGTTCAAAAATGTGACCACTAGAGTGTTAACAAGGATTGAGCAGGGTGACCTAGTTTTTTTAACCCCAGGTGACCCATATTCGAACTTGACATAGAAATCATCAAAACAAACTTTCAGACCAATTTCAAGGATACTTGGATCAAAAACAGTAGCCACTAGAGTGTTAACAAGATTTTTTTATTTTTAGCTCCTGTGACCTAGTTTTTTCATCCAAGATGACCCATGTTCAAAGTCATCCGAGCAATTATCTAGACAAGCATGCCTGACCAAATTTGATGATAATTGAGTCAAAAAATGTGACCACTAGAGTGTTAACAGGTTTTTCCATATGTGGGCGGTGTGACCTAGTTTTTGAAGTTTTCTATAAGAAATACCATGGTCTCGTTGCTTATCCCCATAGAAGAAATATTTGGACACCCCTCTACAGAACATCGACACAATGGCCATCCCTTATGTTAAAGGTTATTCACAGCAACTTCAGGCTATTATAAATTTTCTTTCCTTCCTAGGACAGTAAACCACTGGAGCCACCTACCCGGTAGCCCCCTGCAGTTGCCCTACTCCCTACCCCAGAGCAGTTCAGCTGCAGCAATAGCTTGCACTGAACATGTCTCACCCTAGTTTGCCAGACCCTATTTTTAACATTTTCCAATATTCTTTTTTTCCTCTTTTAAATAACTCTTTTTAACCTTCTGGCAATTTTTGACGAGCAGACATGTATACGTCCCCGCATGGGGTTTGACATTAACAGCAGATAGATAGATAGATTTATGGTGTACATGTCTGAATAGCAGTTTACCACACCACAAACACAAGTTTATTATTTAATTGTTGATAGCGAGCTCGAAGAGCTGGCCAAAGGGCCTGCTCGCAAATCCACTTTTACGGTAACATGAGTAGTGAGTACCTGCTAGATAGTGACGGTTTTGAAAACTTTC